GGCAGGGCTCTCTTACCTCTTGTATTTGTTTGTGTATATTGTACGTTTCTCAACTAATTGTACAGCGCTGCGGAATCTGTGTGCGCTTTATAAATTGCAATAATAAATAAATAAAAATAAACATATCAGTCAGTATGCCTGTGTGTGTGTGTGTATATGTCAGTATGCCTGTGTGTGTGTGTCAATGTGTCTGTCAGTGTATGTGTCTGTGTGTTTTAGTATATCTGTCAGTGTATGTGTTTGTGTGTGTGTCAGTATATCTGTTAATGTATGTGTCTGTGTATGTATGTCTGTGTGTGTGTCAGTATGTCTGCCAGTATATATTTGTGTGTAGTGACTTTGTGTGTCAGTATGTATCTGTGAATGTTTTAATGTCTGTCTGTGTGTGTATGTGCCAGTACGTCTGTCAGTGTGATTGCGGGTTGGACGTAATTGGGGGCTGAGGCAGTGGCAGGGACAGGGCCCATGGGACCCAAGAAAATGCATTGCCCAGGGTCCTAATCATATTATAGACGGCCCTGGGGATAGGGTATGCATTTTTTACAGTGATTTTATTAAGTGTTAAGTAGACTTTATTACCTGTTTCTTAATATTTCTAAGGGCATTAAGCCCTAAACCCCTTTTTATACAGGGGTAGAGTGAGAAGTTGGGCATCTTGAATAGAAAATAAGGTCAACGCGATTGGAACACTTAAGGAAGGTTGAAAAGGAGGACTGTTGAGTCACAAAAGACACAAATTCCCCCCACATCCCTAAAAAAAAAAAAATTGATGTAGTCAATCCCCAAATTGCTGTAGTCAATCCCCAATCCCCAAATTGCTGACCAAATTCACACATTTTTAATATGTGCTCTTATATATAGAATGGAAGGTTTAACATGTGTTTGTTTTGTAGGTGTGTTGTTTTCTCTCTCACAGAAGGTTTATTGTCAAACTTGGGGTACATTCTTTCCACCAAACATTTCCCTTAAAAATCACCCCTTCCATATCACTTACAGTTCATGTTAAAATAATGATACAACAAATGCCTTCTCACAGTGTTTCCCTCATGGTTGTTCATGTTGCCTTTACAGTCTTGTCTCCAGGTTGTTTCTTAGCAACAAAGATCTGTTTGCCCAGCTCCACAACATCAATATACAAACAAAAGCATTCCCACTAGGGCTAATCCTTTGCAATCAAGAAGGTATCTGCATTCATATATATTTATATCCCAGAATTCCTCTTAAGTCCTAAAACATTATGCCACAGTTTCCAATAAACCAGTCACTTGTGTGGGTTATAAGACTTTAGAACAGTCTATAGCTCTTCTGGCATCTAAATATGTCTAAGGTACTGAAATAATATCATTATATGTAATACCAAAGGCTGAGCACACTAACCCAAAATACCTTTCACAACCATATAAGAATCCATGAGGTTTGATTACTATTATATTTTATATTTCTATATATTATATATAACTTCATTCAGTGACCAAACTGACTGTCTGACTAGAATATCTAATATTATAATCAATATCAGGGTTAAAAACAGTGGCGTACACATGACCCATGGGGCCCCGGTGCAAAAAATTGATCCGTGGGCCCTCCCCCGCCGCGCGCGCGGGCCGGGTCGCAACACATGACGGTGGGCACCTGGTCGCAGAGGTTACAGGGCTGCGACCGCGGTATGTACGCCAGTGCATGCAGATGCACACACACTTAAAGGACCACTCTAGGCACCCAGACCACTTCAGCTTAATGAAGTGGTCTGGGTGCCAGGTCCAGCTAGGGTTAACCCATTTTTTCATAAACATAGCAGTTTCAGAGAAACTGCTGTGTTTCTGAATGGGTTAAGCCTTCCCCTATTTCCTCTAGTGGCTGTCTCATTGACAGCCGCTAGAGGTGCTTGCGTGCTTCTCACTGTGATTTTCACAGTGAGAGCACGCCAGCGTCCATAGGAAAGCATTATGAATGCTTTCCTATGTGACCGGCTGAATGCGCGCGCAGCTCTTGCCGCGCGTGCGCATACAGCCGACGGGGAGGAGAAGAGGAGGATCGGAGGAGGAGAGCTCTCCGCCCAGCGCTGGAAAAAGGTAAGTTTTACCCCTTTCCCCCTTTCCAGAGCCGGGCGGGAGGGGGTCCCTGAGGGTGGGGGCACCCTCAGGGCACTATAGTGCCAGGAAAACGAGTATGTTTTCCTGGCACTATAGTGGTCCTTTAAAGGACCACTACAGACACCCAGATCACATCAGCTCAATGAAGTTGTCTGGGTGTCACGTCCCTCTAGTTTTAACCCTGCAGCTGAAAACATAGCAGTTTCAGAGAAACTGCTATGTTTCACTGAGGGTTAATCCAGCCTCTAGTGGCTGTCTCACTGACAGCCGCTAGAGGAGCACACTGAACGTCCATAGGAAAGCATTGAGTAATGCTTTCCTATGGGCAGTTTGAATGCGTGCGCGGTCGCATTCGGAGCTGAGAGGCCGAGGGATCCCCAGCACCAAGGGAGTCCGGCGCTGGAGAAAGGTAAGTGCTGAAGACACACACACACACACTTACAGACGCATACACACTAGCTAACAGACACACACGTTTACTGACAGAGACACAGTCAGCGACAGACATACATACACACTCACTTACAAAACATACACCCTCATTGACAAACACACACTCACTAACAGACATCAAACAGACTCACTAACACACACACACTCAGTAAGACACACACAGTAACACACTCACTAACACTCACTAGCAGACACACACACTAGCAGACACACACACTAACACTCACACTAACTAGCAGACACACTCTAACACTCACACTAACACTCACTAGCAGACACACACACTAACACTCACACTAACACTCACTCTAACCCTCACACTAACACTCACACACACTAACACACACACACTCAAACACTAACACTAACACATGTTTTTTTTTGTTTTTTTTTATTTAATTCCCCCAGCCTCCTTACCTTTTGGAGTGCTGGGGGGATTCCCTGGGGTCCAGTGGTGCTGCTGGGCTCCTGGGCGGGTGGCCGGTCGGGCAGGCGGTGCGCGAGGGAGCTGAAGAGGAAGCACTGAGTGCTCCCTCGCGCGCGCGCCTGCCCAACCGGCCACCCGCCTGGGTCAGCAGGGCCAGCCTCGGGGGGCCCTGGGGTGGTCGGCTTCTGGGCCACCCAGGGGAAGAGGCTGGCCCTGTGGCTACATACCGGGTCGCAGGGGCGGCCGGGCCCCCTGGTGGGCCGGGCCCGGTCGCAGCCGCGACCCCTGCGACCCTGGTATGTACGCCACTGGTTAAAAACCAGGGTTACAAATTCACTTCACAGTGCAGCTCTTGCTATGCAGGTAATCCTGGCTGGTGTAAATTACTGCTACTTTAGTGATTAAGCAAAAACCACTAACCAGACCTTTGAAAAGTAAAATAATTTTTCTTTTGCGCATATCGTCAATGGGTAATTTGTTTTACTGTTTGGGCATAAAATGCATATAAAAAAAAAAAATACACACACACATATATATATATGATCAATTGTTAGACATTCTGTTTTTACAAATATGAAGACTTAATTTACATAGATATAAGGTCATCTACACAAGGAGCTTAAGCTTAAAGGACCACTATAGTGCCAGGAAAACATACTCGTTTTCATGGCACTATAGTTCCCTGAGGGTGCCCCCACCCTCAGGAACCCCCTCCCGCCCGGCTCTGGAAGGGGGAAAGGGGGAAAAACTTACCTTTTTCCAGCGCTGGGCGGGGAGCTCTCCTCCTCCGTTCCTCCCCGTCGGCTGAAGGCGCACGCGCGGCAAGAGCTGTGCGCGCATTCAGCCGGTCGCATAGGAAAGCATTATCAATGCTTTCCTATGGACGCTGGCGTGCTCTCACTGTGAAAATCACAGTGAGAAGCACGCAAGCGCCTCTAGTGGCTGTCAATGAGACAGCCACTAGAGGATTTGGGGGAAGGCTTAACCCATTCATAAACATAGCAGTTTCTCTGAAACTGCTATGTTTATAAAAGAATGGGTTAATCCTAGCTGGACCTGGCACCCAGACCACTTCATTAAGCTGAAGTGGTCTGGGTGCCTAGAGTGGTCCTTTAACACATAAATAAGAGTATAATCGAGAGGAAGTGATGTACAGAATGAGAGTGGTACATAGAAATTAGGTTCAATATAATAGGGCTGAATTTTCATCTCAGGAGGTTGTGGAAATACGAAGGTCATATATTCTACATAAATAATTAATTTTGCATATTTTGCATAGACGCCTGAAGTGACATGTCTGCTTGAGGCTCGTGGCCGTGGCTGTGGAAGGTAAGTTTAATTACCTGAAGTTGTCCCTCGTGGCCTCTGCCATTTTTCTTTCTGCAGACCTCCTTTAGCTCTTGGCGCTTCATTGGCCAGAAGCCAAATCAGTGCTGTGTTCTTACATATCCATGGAGGATTCTGTGGGAGCTTAGATAGAAAATGTCTCACGATGAGTGAGACAATCCTACAACCTTTACGTCTGACAGCTGCTGTGATTTGACAAAAGTTGGCAGTGGAACGCCACCCTTTCTAAACCTCAGGCTTGCCCGTAAGACAAATTAGCCCCTACTTTCTGTTATGGTATTTATGTATTGTCCCACCCTCCCCACGGACAACCCTTGCTCATTCTGGTCTTGGAGATGTAGTTAATTGAGAAGCTCATATTCCATTTCAACTATGCCACTTTCATGCAAAGTTTCAGATCTTATTTTGGATGAGGGTGTCCACTGATACTTACAGAGCCTCATTAATGGATCTTGCTTTGTTATATAAATGTAATGTTTTTTTTTTTGTTTAATTCCTTTCATTGCTACATCTGAGATAGTAACTTTCCCATTCTCAGCTGCAGTGCTGAAACTGTTACTTAAACAGCGCGACCGGGCCCCTCTTCCGGTTCTGCAGCCGGCTGGGAGGAAGTGACGTCACTTCCTCCCACCGGAGATAATGGCCGCGCGGGAGGAGGAAGGCAGTGCCTCAGCCTGCCACTGGACCAGGGAAACCACCCTCCAGGAAAAGGTAAGAACCTGGAGGGTGGCTAAATGTATGCCAGTATGTCTGTGTGTGTGTGTGTGTGTCAGTATGTCAGTGTGTGTGTGTGTGTGTGTGTGTCAGTATGTCTGTGTGTGTATGCCAGTATGTCTGTGTGTGTGTCAGTATGTCTGTGTGTGTATGCCAGTATGTCTGTGTGTGTGTGTGTGTGTGTCAGTATGTCTGTGTGTATGCCAGTATGTCTGTGTGTGTGTGTGTGTGTGTGTGTCAGTATGTCTGTGTGTGTATGCCAGTATGTCTGTGTGTGTGTGTGTGTGTGTCAGTATGTCTGTGTGTGTATGCCAGTATGTTTGTGTGTGTGTGTGTGTGTGTCAGTATGTCTGTGTGTATGCTAGTATGTCTGTGTGTGTGTGTTTCAGTATGTCTGTGTGTATGCCAGTATGTCTGTGTGTGTGTATGTAGGTATGTCTGTGTGTGTGTACGTGTGTGTCAGTATGTCTGCCAGGATATATTTGTGTGTCAGTGTATGTGTGTGTCAGTATGTATCTGTGAATGTTTTAATGTCTGTCTGTGTGTATGTGCCAGTCTGTCTGTGTGTATGTCAGTATGTCTGTGTGTGTGTGTCAGCATGTCTTTGTGTGTCAGTATATCTGTGTGTGTATGTAAGTATGTGTGTGTATGTGTGTGTCAGTCAGTATGTCTGTCAGTGTATGTGTGTGTCAGTCAGTATGTCTGTCAGTGTATGTGTGTGTATGTATGTCTGTGTGTGTGTGTGTGTCAGTATGTCTGCCAGGATATATTTGTATGTCAGTGTATGTGTGTGTCAGTATATATCTGTGAATGTTTTAATGTCTGTCTGTATCAGCCATTACGTCTGTCTGTATCAGCCATTACGTCTGTCTGTGTATATGTCAGTATGCCTGTGTGTGTGTGTCAGTGTGTGTCAATGTGTCTGTCAGTGTATGTGTCTGTGTGTTTTAGTATATCTGTCAGTGTATGTGTTTGTGTGTGTGTCAGTATATCTGTTAATGTATGTGTCTGTGTATGTATGTATGTATGTCTGTGTGTGTGTCAGTATGTCTACCAGTATATATTTGTGTGTAGTGACTGTGTGTGTCAGTATGTATCTGTGAATGTTTTAATGTCTGTCTGTGTGTGTATGTGCCAGTACGTCTGTCAGTGTGATTGCGGGTTGGACGTAATTGGGGGCTGAGGCAGTGGCAGGGACAGGGCCCATGGGACCCAAGAAAATGCATTGCCCAGGGTCCTAATCATATTATAGATGGCCCTGGGGATAGGGTATGCATTTTTTACAGTGATTTTATTAAGTGCCCTGTAGTCCATGCAAGGGCGTAACTCACCACCCTTTTTCTCAACAAAAAAGAATCCTGCACCAGCTGGTGAGGATGACTTTCTTATGTGCCCTTTGCTCAAGGATTCTTTGATGTATTCCTCCATTTTTTTACTCTCCTGGGGAGATAAGGCATAAACTGCCCCCTTAGGTGGCATAGCGCTTGGAAACAGGTTAATGGCACAGTCATATGCTCTGTGGGGAGACAATACATCGGATTGAGCCTTGTTAAACACCTCCTGAAGTTCTCGGTATTGTATGGGAACTCCAGGAGTTTGGGGAGTGGTAGTGGGAAGGTCAATAGTATCCAATCTCTTTAGTATTGGTTTTATACATCTCCCCATACACTCTTTACCCCATTCTAATATCTCCCCATTAGCCCAGTCAATATAGGGATTGTGCTTACTCAGCCACGGAAACCCCAATATGATAGGACATGATGGAGAAGTAATAACCTGAAACGTCATCTCCTCCCTATGGTTGGCCCCAATGGAGATCGTAATAGGGACAGTTTCGTGGGTTATAAGCGGTTGTGTGAGTGGTCTACCATCAATAGCCTCTACAGCTAGCGGCGTAGGTCTCTCCCTGACCGGTATCTCATTACCCCTAATAAACTGGACATCAATAAAATTTCCAGCAGCACCTGAGTCCATTAGGGCACTGCAAGAAAACTTCTTGTTATCATGGGAAATAGATACCTCAAGGAGGAATCTACTTTTGTTTTTGTTAGAGGACAACTCCATCACACCTAAGATCTGTCCTCTTAAGGTTCTTAGGTGCGGAAGTTTTCCAGACGCACTGGGCAATTAGTTATCATATGTCCCTTTCTACCGCAATATAGGCATAACCCCTCCCTTCTCCTATACTGTTTTTCGGCCTCTGACAGTCTAGTGACCCCCAACTGCATAGGTTCGTGTTCGGACTGTACAGGGAGGTTAGACAAAACAGGTTTAGAGAATTGAGGTGCTAGGGACATAGCCGTACGTCTGGTCTTGCTTCTGGTGACTTCTCTGAGTCTTAATCTATTATCAATATGCATGACAAACGTAATAAATTCGTTAAGACTCTTAGGTAATTCTTTAGCGGCTATCTCATCTAGTATAGTCTCTGAGAGACCCTTTTTGAATGCTGAGATTAACCCATTGTTAGTCCAGTCTACCCCGGAAGCTAAGGTACGGAATTCAATAGCATAATCCGAGATAGACCGGTTACCTTGTCTGATGTGCATTAGGGCAGTGGAGGCGTCATCCTCTCTACCCAATGGCTCAAACGTGAGCTTGAATTCGGCAAGGAATTCCTGGTAATTGTGAGCTATGCTCCGATTACTCTCCCACAACGGATTAGCCCAGGCAAGGGCCTTGACCTTTAATTGATTCATTAGATAACCAATTCTTGCTCTGTCCATGGGGAATGACCCTGGTGAGGCCTCAAAATGGTACTCCATCTGATTAAGAAAACCCCTGCATTCCTGGATATTGCCATCAAACTGTAGGGATGGTGATAAGGAGATGCTAGGAGTCCTATTAACAGTGGGTGGAGGTACACAGGGTAGAGGTGCTATAGGAGGAGACGCTGCAGGCTGCAGATGCTCCGCTCTAGTGAGAAGCGTACTTAAAGCCTGAGTGAATTGATCCATGCGGTGATCATTCTCCTCTAATTTCCTCTCGCAAGCAGCTATGTGCTGACACAGTTCTACAGGATCTATGGCCATGTTGTAATGTCAGGATTACTGTTTGATCCAGCACGTAGAACTGTACAGCATGGATGACAAATAAGTAACGTATTATCGGTCCTTAGAATGGCCGGATTTAACGTACAAAGAATAGTCAAAAATACTAGCCGAGGTCAGGGAACACAGAAAGGGACACAGCGATGAGGAAAGCCAGGAGTCAGGATACCAGAATATAGAGAAGTCAATAAACAAAGCCAAAGTCAAAACCAGGTAGAAAACTATAAACAGGAACGCGCTCTCGGACAACCACAAGGGAAACCACGACAGGGCACTGAGCAGGCTGAGAACTGGGCCTAAATACCCCTCCTTAGTTCTGATAGGCTGTAACCGGCCTTTGACCCCAAAGTCAGTTACCAGGTTTCATTTGCATAATTGCTGCTCAGCATTAACCCTTCTGTGGATTAGGTTGCCGCTCGGCACAACTTTTCCTGTGTGGACAGTAAATGTCATTAACCACTTTTCTATAAGCGGATGAATACATGACACCAGGTTTCAGTTGCACAATTACTGCTCAGCATTAAACCTTCTGTGGATTAGGTTGTTGCTCGGCACAACTTTTCCTGTGTGGACAGTAAATGTCATTAACCATATTTCTATAAGCGGATGAATACGTGACACTGCCAGCCTGTGTGTCAGGCTCACAGCATATACTGTGCCCACTTGGCCAGTGCCACCACTCACTCACTGGTGTCACAATAGCTTGTCTTTAAAAAAAAAAAAACTTTTTGGACTGTAATATAATAGCAGCCAGTTTCCTTCACGAGTGTGCGGGGGGAGGTCATCGCAAGGAGCTAGTGGCACAGTCAGACAAAATGCATCGGCACCCAGGGTCAGCCAGACAGCACGCCAATCAACTCATGCTGTTGCCACCACCAGAATGCCGTCATTGCAGAGCTCAGCAGTGTGGCATTTTTTTTTGTGTGTCTGCCTCTGACAACAGCGATGCCATTTGCAACCTGTGCCAAAAGAAACTGAGTCGTGGGAAGTCCAACACCCACCTAGGTACAACTGCTTTGCGAAGGCACATGATTGCACATCACAAACGCCTATGGGATCAACACATGAATACAAGCAGCACACAAACTCAAAGCCGCCATCCTCCTCCTGGTCCAGCATCTTCAGCCACGTTAACCACTGCTGTCCTCCTTGCCCCCTCACAACCATCTGCCCCTCCGTCTCTCGCCTTGAGCAGTTCCTGCTCATCTGCCCACAGTCAGGTGTCTGTCAAGGACATGTTTG